GAGATCGATATTATGTAATTATAGATTGATTGGAGGAATTTGTACGAGTTGCTTGAGGTGAAGCAGTTGGTATTTCGGCACGAGTACTGTGAGTAGTAATCTTACCGTAATTTGTGTTTTCATAACTTGCATGATCTACACATAATTTTTAATATGAATATATTACCGATTATTTTGAGTTTCATGTGGGACAAGTCTTTTACTCGATATGATACAGAAATAGTCATTTGAGATGATTATCGTTGTTAAAATATTCTTGTGGTCACTGGATACGTTTTACCATTACGTGAATTTTATGTCATTGAAATAAAATTACATGATTTGATAAGAACCGAAATGCCCTATATTATAAAATACTTTTTCTACGAGTATATACGGATAACAAAGACAAGTATAAATGAGAGTAGACATTGAAGGATACCGTAACTAACGGCGGGTTTGTTAGACCTGGTGCACCTTGTAATTACATATTACCGTTACAGCCCTTGCTAGTGGGAAGGTAGAACTAGCATACCGTTACCGATTTTCCTCGAGTAGGGACTACCGTTATATTTGACTTCTTGCGAAGAAGTCACATTTATACCGATTACATGATCCGTTCATTGAAACCTCCCAAATGTGAATATTGATATTATACAGTAGTTACTGAGCTTATTACTGAATTGTTAATTGTATTATACTACAAGAAAAGCATGATGAGACTGAAAATTATTTATTATTTCTGAAAGAGCATTTTTATGATAATTTCTGTTTAATATACTAGCATGTTTTCTATTTGTCCCCAATAAAAACGGTTATGGTTAATTGTTATTACTCACTGAGCTAGCGACTCATTCCCCGCTAGCTTTTTTTTACAGAAACAGCAGTTGACGCAGGTGAGAATTTCGTTTATTAGAGCGCACAGGTTGATAGTTCTTGGTGAGCCTCGCACTTGTTCGCATGGGCAGAGATTTTATTTATTGTTATGATCTTTTTCTTTGAACTCTTAGAGTCGCTCCATAGTCATTATTTTAGTGTCATGAGTATTCTTTTGTTATTATAGTCTTATGTTGAGTATCGTTCTCATTTATCAAAGTTGGAGATAAATTAGTATTTCTAGTGGTTAGTTGGTGGTTTAGTTATGGTGGAGACTTGTTTTGGTTAATTGACAAGTTGTCAATTGTTTGGTATGGTACTAGGATGTTTGGTTGTTGATTTGAGACAGAGAAATTTTTTGCGATAGTCCAAAAATAGGAAAAACTCTGCCCGATTTTCTGTAAAATACCGATGAGGCTTACTTGGAGGCAGTTGCTCCTAAGTGCCGGTCATGATCCTAAATTGGATCCTGACAAAGTTGGTATCAGAGCTTAGGCTTTAAGTCCCGAGTCATGGAGCAATGTTTAGTAGAGTCTTGTTCATGGGTATGTAGACGCCCATACTTATGATCTTGAAGCTACTGAACATCTAGGAATGTTTTCTCTTCTTTCATTCTTTGATCGTGCGTGGAGATAACTTGAGATTGACTTTGGAATATTTCTTTCACAGATGGCTAGGACACGTACACCCTCATCTGCTGGACGTGGTGCTGGACGTGGTACTACCCCGGGTGGCGGTCAAGTTGGGGTTCATCAAACTAGAAGACAGACTGCTTCTCAACCTGAAGTTGGGAACATGGGTCAACCCCAAGCTGCTATGCCAGATCAAGTGCAAGGGCAGGGAGTTCAGGACGCTCCACCACCTGTGCCAACTGTTGTACCTACTGTTGCCTTACCTGCATACGCAGTGGCAAGGTTATTGAATGTGTAGAGGCATTGGTGCCTACTCAGGGTGGAAGTTCAGCTCCTCAGGCTACTTAACGGACACAAACACCTGCACAGACTCAGACTTTCAGAAATAAGGAAGTATCCCTACAAGAGTTCCTGAAATTGAAATCACCAAAATTCACAGGTTCTGATAATTCAGCAGATCCTCAAAGTTTCTTGGATGGGACACTCAAGGCATACGTGCTCTGGGATGTTCTAGTGAGAGAGCCGTGGAGCTCGCAGCATACAAACTAGAGGATTTGGCCAACACATGGTATGAAACAGTATTGCTAGGAAGGCCAGCAGGAGCAGCACCACTGACATGGGACGAGTTCACTAAGTTGTTCAAGAATCATTTTCTTCCAGATAGCCTGATGCAAAAATATGCTAGAGACTTTGAGAGATTGGTTCAGACTCCAAATATGGATGTGCCAAGATATAACACTAAGTTTTGTAAGCTGGCTATATATGCTCATTACTTAGTGCCTACCGAAGAAGCTCGAGTTCAGAGGTTTGTTGATGGATTGGTTGGTCGTCTATACACTGCAGTAGCCCCACAGATGAAAACTTTATCCTACTCTGATATAGTCGAACTTACTAGAAAGATTAAAAACAAGGGACGGGATGAGCGTGCAACTAGTGATTTACGTAAGAACGCCAAGATAGGAGGGTCTTTCAGTGGCGGTTTTAGTGAAAATCGAAGAGCAGGAAATCAAGGACAACAACAACAGGGTTCTCAGACAGGGACACATTTGTCTTCACAATCCACATACATACCACATTATATACAGGGCAATAGGGGAACATCATCTTCTGGACATCGTAATTCTGGGCAGATATATGCCACTACTCCAGTCTGCCAGACCTGTGGTAGATCACATTTGGGCCAGTGTCGTATTCTAACTGGAGAGTGCTTTCGGTGTGGACAGTTGGGGCATCACTTGAGGGATTGCCCTCAGCCTCCGAGAAATTTCAACCAGGCTTCTATTAGATAAGCTGCACCAACTCAGACTACTCGTAATACTTCATGTGCTACAGGTACAGGAAATAGAGGTCGAGGTTCTGGAGACTGTGCTACTGTTAATCAAGGACAAGGGAATGCTGGTAGAGGTCAGGTGAGAGTTGTTGCATTTACTAGACAGGATGCTCAGGCCTCGAATGCTGTGGTTACATGTATTCTTTCTATCTGTTCATTTGATGCACTTGCGTTGATTGATCCGGGATCTACTCACTCCTATGTGTCCTCGTACTTTGCTTTGAGGTTTAGTAGACAACCTGAGCTATTTAATGATCCTTTTCTAGTTGTTACTCCTGTTGGAGAGTCTCTGTTAGCTGAATACGTGTATCGTGCTTGTCAGATTCGGGTTGAGGGTAGAGATACTCTAGCTGACCTTATTGTACTTGATATGATTGACTTTGACATGTTGATGAGAATGGATTGGTTATCTTCTTGCTATGCTATAGTCGATTGTCATGCAAAGATAGTAAAGTTTAGGATACCAAATGAACCCAGTTTTATTCTAAGAGGGAGTCAGGTTCCAGAGACTCGCAAAATTGTATCTTTTATGAAGGCTCAACAACTTCTGAAGAAAGGTTGCTTGGGTATCTTAGCTATTGTAAATGATATAAGAAAGGAAACAATTGGTATAGAAAATGTACCAGTAGTGAGAGAATTTTCTAATATATTTCTTGAGGATTTACCAGGATTGCCTCTAGTACGAGAAATAGACTTTGGTATTGATTTGCTACCTGACACACATCCCATATCGATACCCCCATATCGAATGGCACCGGCAGAGTTGAGGGAGCTAAAGCAACAATTACAAGATTTGTTAGATAAGGTTTTATTAGACCTAGTGTATCACCATGGGGTGCACCGGTACTGTTCGTAAAGAAGAAAGACGGATCCCTGAGAATGTGCACTGACTACATGCAGTTGAACAAGATAAAAATACACAATAAATATCCCTTGCCTCGTATAGATGACATGTTTTATCAGTTACAAGGAGCTGCCCACTTTTCAAAGATTGACCTCCGTTCTGGTTATCATCAGCTTAGAATCAAAGATGAAGATATTTCTAAGACTGCTTTCGGAACTCGATACGGGCACTATGAGTTTCTTGTGATGCCTTTCGGACTAACTAATGCCCCAGCGGCATTCATGGATTTAATGAATAAAATGTTCAAGCCGTTTTTGGATATATTTGTAATAGTATTCATTGATGATATCCCGATATATTCTCATAGCCAAGGAGAACATGAGGATCATCTCAGGACCGTGTTGCAGACATTGCGAGAACATCGACTTTATGCTTAGTTCTCAAAGTGTGAATTTTGGCTAGACTCAGTATCATTTCTGGGGCATGTTATATCCAAAGATGGAATTATGGTAGATCCTAAGAAGACCGAAGCTATGCAGAGATGGCCCAGACCTACTTCTCCTACAGAGATTCACAGTGTTTTAGGCTTAGCAGGCTATTACTGGCGTTTTGTGTAGGATTTCTCCAAAATAGCAGCGCCGCTGACCAAGCTAACACAGGAAAATGCAAAGTTTTAGTAGACGGAGGAATGTTAGCAGAGCTTTCAAAAACTCAAAACATGTTTGACAACTGCACCAATATTAGCCTTACCATCAGGTTCAGGAGTATTTACAGTATTCTGTGACGCCTCGAGGGTGGTATTAGGATGTGTTCTCATGCAAAATGGTCATGTTATAGCTTATGCTTCGAGACAATTGAAAAGGCACGAGCAAAACTATCCTACACATGATCTGGAGATGGCTGCAGTGGTATTTGTTCTAAAAATTTGGAGGCATTACCTATATGGTGAAACTTGTGAGATTTATACTGACCATAAAAGTCTGAAATATATCTTTCAGCAGAGAGATCTGAATCTTCGGCAGCGTCGTTGGATGGAACTAATCAAAGACTATGATTGTTCTATTTTGTATCATCCTGGAAAAGCCAATGTGGTGACTGATGCATTGAGCAGAAAATCTATGGGGAGTCTGGCACACATAGCTCCTGCAAAGAGACATTTGGCCAAAGATATTCAAAGACTAGAAGATACATGTATCGGATTTAGTGTCGGAAATTCAGAGGCATTATTAGCTTGTGCTCAGGCCAAGTCTTCATTAGTTGAGCGCATTAAGGCCACCCAATATGAGGATGACAATTATGCAAATACAGAGATGAGGCCTTAGCTGGTAAAAGCAAGGATATGATTGTTGAAAGTGATGGTGTTCTTCGAATGGGTGACAGGCTATATGTAGCAGACGTAGATGGGTTGAGACATGCTATTCTTGAAGAAGCCCACAACTCTAAATACACTATACATCCTGGACCCACAAAAATGTACCATGACCTGAAGCAATTTTATTGGTGGGAAGGTATGAAGAAACATGTTGCTAACTTTGTTTCTAGTTGTTTGACTTGTCAGCAGGTCAAGGCTGAGCATCAGCGACCCGCAGGACTACTACAACAAATTGAGATTCCAGAGTGGAATTATGGGAAAGAATTACTATGGATTTTGTCACCGGTCTACCACGAACTCTTAGAGGTTATGACTCTGTATGGGTAATTGTAGATCGACTGACGAAATCAACACACTTTTTGCTAGTAAAGACTACATATGGCGGAGTGAGGTATGCACAGATATTTATAAATGAAATTGTCCAACTTCACGGAGTTCCAATATCCATCATCTCTGATAGAGGATCACAATTTACCTCACACTTTTGGAAATCTTTTCAAGAAGCATTGGGTACACGAGTAGATCTTAGTACTTCATTTCATCCATAGACAGACGGGGCAGTCTGAACGTACTATACAGATCTGAGGATATGTTGAGAGCTTGCATTCTTGAGTTTGGAGGTAGTTGGGACACTTACCTACCTTTAGCTGAATTTGCTTACAATAATAGCTTCCAATCCAGTATTCAAATGGCACCGTACGAAGCACTATATGGTAGAAGATGCCGTTCTCCTATGGGATGGTTTGAAGCTGGTGAGACTAACTTACTGGGACTCGACTTAGTACAAGAAGCTATGGACAAGGTCCAGTTGATCAGACAGAGATTGCTTACAGCTCAAAGTAAATAAAAGTCTTATGCTGATAAGAGAAGAAGAGATTTAGTGTTCGCAATTGGGGATAAAGTGTTCCTACGAGTCTCCCATATGAAAGGTGTGATGCGGTTTGGGAAAAGAGGCACGTTGAGCCCCAGGTTTATAGGACAATATGAGATACTGGCTTATCGTTTGGCACTTCCTCCTGAGTTGACCTTTATCCATCCAGTGTTTCATGTCTCAATGCTAAGGAAATGTATGTCAGACTCATCTCAGGTGCTTGAAGCACCTGCTATACCGCTTGATGAGAAGTTGTCTTACGAGGAGGAATCAATGGCTATTATTGATAGACAAGTAAGAAAGCTACGGTCAAAAGATATTATGTTCGTTAAAGTTTTATGGAGAAATTATACCATTGAAGAAGCTACTTGGGAAGTAGAAAAAGATATGCAAGTGATAACTAGGGATTTTGACGTGTTTCATGCTCCTTTTTGCTTACGCTTTGATTATAAAATTCTTACAAAATAAATCCAAAAGGCTCATAAGTTGTGCTTGATTTCAGGTTTGATCAACAAAGTGACGAGATGTCAAAGATCGGCTCAAAAGGAGTGAAACCTGCACAAGTATCAAAGACAAAGAGAACTCAGGACAAACTAGCCTAGTGCGGCCGCAATCCATTCTGTGCGGTTCGCACTAGGGAGATTCAGAGACTAGATTTTTAGGGCATCAAAGCAGTGCGGCCGCAATAGATATTGTGCGGCCCGCACTGAAGACACCGCGTCTGCACCACCATTTTATGCGGTCCGCGGAAGCAAACTTCAGAGAGATGTCAAGTGCCAAGGTTCAAGCCTGTGCGGTCCGCGGTCGTGTTTGTGCGGACCGCGCTAGAGGCCTCCGCGGCCGCAGTCCATTCTGTGCGGTTCGCAGAGCCTGGGTTCAGAGAGTTGATTTTTCAGAGTCAAGAGCCAAGTGCGGCCGCACACCATTTTGTGCGGTCCGCACTGACCCTGCAGGGGTATTTTTGTCTAACTTTTCTAGCTTAGAATAAATAGAATATTTTTCCATTTTTAGGGTATCAGATATTATAGAACAGTAGCTGCGCTCGTGAGAAGCCATTTTGGGCACTTTAACGTAGTTTTAGCAATTGAATCATTATATTTACTTCAGTAATTTAATATTATGTCTTTCTCTTCATTTATTTCTCTGATTTTATCTTCAAGCATGAGTAGCTAAACCCATTAGCTAGGGTTGTGGCTCAACAGGCGGAGGGAATGAAGGGACCTGCAGGAGGCTGAAAAGCCGTAGTGCGCTAGCGCTAGCGAGTTAGCGCAACAACTTTCCCTAGTGTGGGTAATTGATGGGTATTGTGATTTAAGGTTAGATTGATTATGAGTGTTTGTTATTTGGGTCAATTTTATGGTTTAGTTTATGAATTAGTGGTTGCAAACACTAGTTTGTGCTTAGTAGACTTGGGCTCTTCTTGAGAAAGAGAGCCTAAGTCTCCAAAATTGACCCAACAAGGAATTGGGATGGACTCAAGAGATTTGATAGTCCCAATTAAAGGGTTAAACCTTGAGAGAGTAATTACCCGACTTGAACCCTAGTTGCTCGGGCAAACATGCATACCCAATTGGTCTCGAGAGAGTCAATTGGGCAAAACCACTCTTTCTACCGAGAGGTGTAGAGTGGGTAGTATTGAGAAACGGTTATAACATATCTCCCCAATCATGTCGATCGTGCCTTAGATGCAATTACCCGTCAATTAGCACCTAGGTAAAAGTCACTACCCTAGTGCCTTTTAAACCATTAGATACAACTTGTACCAATTCTCTTAGCATAATCTAGCTGCAATTATAATTAGTAGTTGATAATAGTAGAATATAAAGAAAACCCAAAAATGAATAGAAGACAAATTAAGAACATACACAATCCAAGCTAAATAGATACTCGACTCCAATCCTAGCTCTCTGTGGATTCGATCCCGACCCACAAATCGGGTAAAAGCTATTGCGACCCTCTCTTGCTACTTTTTAGTGGTGCGGAGTTGGCAGCGATCACTTTTTGGCGCCGTTGCCGGGGAGCTAACGGTTTTGGCTATCTATTTAGTTAGTTTTGTGTGTTGTTCTTCTTTCCTTCTTTGTTACTAATTTGTGTGTGTGATTACTACAGGTACCAAATGGCTTTAAATGCTAATGACCCTCTTGGAAATGTTCTTGCGGGGGAGGAGGTAGATGAAATTGGAGAGGATGAGGTGCCTCTTGTACCTCCCGGACCACGACGAGGCCGCCAGGCCAATGCTAATGATAATGTTCCAGACCCTCCTCCGCAACCTCCAAGAGTGGCTCCCAGAGTATTACCAAACCAAGGATATGCAAGTGCTATTGTCCCACCCAGAATCCGGGCGGGCAATTTTCAGATAACTAATGTGATGTTGACCTTACTTGAGCAGCGTGGGTATTTCACGGGCGCTGCGGATCAAAATGCCTACAAACATCTAAAAGGGTTCGTGGATACATGTTGGGGTAGCAAGCAGACGAATGTGTCCGAAGATGCTCTTAGGTTGAGACTTTTCCCGTTCTCACTTCGGGGAAAGGCATTGGATTGGCTAGAGAGACTCCCCAACCATTCCATCACAACTTGGGATGAGTTGGCGGATAAGTTTATTGCTAAATTATTTTCACCCGGGCATATGGCGGCACTTCGAGATGAGATATTGGCTTTCAAGCAAGAACCCACGGAACCTTTGCATGAGATTTGGGAGCGGTTTAGAACAATGGTGAAAGAATGCCCAAACAACGATATGACCGAGGCGATGATTCAACAAACCTTCTATCGGGGCATCAATACTACAAATCAATGCATAGTCAATCAATTGGCCGGGGGTAATTTCATGAAGTTGCCTTATGACGAAGCTTGCGAGATTCTTGATGAGATGGCGGATACATCCTCCGCATGGCAAAGTAGAGCCAATGTTCCCCAAGGTGACCCTACGGTTATTCATTTGCATAAGGAGTTACATGACCATGGACAAGCTATAGCGGAGTTGACAACTACTATGAACCAATTGGCTAAGGCACAGTTGCAACAAGTCCAAAACCCTCGCCAAGTGAATGCTATGGAAAGTGTTAATCTGCTTACTAACACGAGAAGGCAAAGAAGGCAATAAAACCAAGGGAATTCTGAGCAATTTGGTGATGATTGTGATGGGTTTCAAAATGATGGCTATGATGAGCAAAATGAAGAGGTACAATATGTTAACAACTATCAAGGCAATAGAGGCAACTCTTCAAACCAACAATGGCGACCCCAAGGAAATTGGGGCAATCAACAACAAGGTGGTGGTAATTGGAACAACAACAACCAAGGCGGTAATTGGGGGAACAACAATCAAGGCAACCAAGGGCATTGGAATGGTAATAACAACAATTGGAACAACAATGGTCAAGACGGGTGGAACAACAATGGAAACCAAGGCAATCGGGGGCAAGGCTTTCAAAGGCCCCCGATGTACCAACAACCGAACAATCCACCTCCGTTTCAATCTCAAGGATCTAGTTCTTCGGGTAATGATATGGGAAGAATAGAAATGATGTTCGAACAAATGATGAAGAAGAACCAAGATTCCGATGCTCAATTGGCTTCCCACAATACCTCTATCCGGAACTTAGAGGTGCAAATTTAGGGCCCAAAATCTCTCAATCGTTGAATGCTTGCCCTAAGGGGTGCTGTACCAAGTGATAACGGTGTAAACCCTAAAGGTGGGAACAATCATGTGATGGCGGTTACAACAAGAAGTGGGAGAGGCAGTGATGTGCATGCCTCGAAAGATAAGCAAGTTGTGGATGATGATGTTGAGTTACGGGAAAATGATGTACCTGTGATAGTTGACGATGTGGTTGAGAATGAGGTGAACAATGATGTGAGGATTGACATTGATGAGGCCGAGGTGGAAACTCAAGATGCCGTGAACCCGTCTAGGGAATACGTGATTGACATGCCCGAGCCGGTGGTGCCCAAAGCCAAGGCATCTTTGCCTAGACCACCTCCGCCCTATCCTCAGAGGCTAGCCAAGCAGAAAAGTGAGAATCAATTCAAAAAGTTCATTGACATGATGAAGAGCTTATCCATCAACGTGCCTTTGGTGGAGGCTTTGGAGCAAATGCCTGGTTATGCTAAATTCATGAAAGATTTTGTTACAAAGAAAAGATCAATGGACTGTGAAACTATCAAGATGACCCACCAAGTTAGTGCCATAGTACATTCAATGGCCCCGAAATTAGAGGATCCCGGTGCTTTCACTATCCCCTGCACTATTGGTAGTGCAAACTTTACCAAAGCTTTATGTGATCATGGGGCAAGCATCAATTTAATGCCCTTCTCAGTTTTCAAGACTCTGGGTATTGGGCCACCAAGGCCAACTTCCATGAGATTACAGATGGCAGATAGATCAATGAAGCGACCTTTGGGCATAGTTGATGATGTGCTTGTCCGGGTGGACAAATTTATCCTGCCAGCGTACTTTGTGATTTTGGATTGTGAGGTCGACTATGAGGTCCCGGTCATATTAGGGAGGCCTTTCCTTGCAACGGGGAAGGCATTGGTTGATGTTGAAGCGGGTGAACTAACTTTCCGAGTGGGGGATGAGAAGGTCGTTTTCCATGTTTGCAAATCCATGAAGCAACCCAATAGCACCGAGGTTGCTCATTTGTGGACATTGTCACAGCTATGATCGTGGATGACACAAGTTCTATGATTAATGTGGAGGATCCCCTTGAGGCGTGCTATTAAATCTTGATGTCAATGATGATGCAAGAAGAGTGGAGTGTGTCAATGCATTATATGGGATGGGCTCTTATTCCTATGAGCCCAGAAAATTGTCCTTGGATCTTGAAAATCGAAAAACTCCACCAACCAAACCATCAATTGAGGAGCCACCAGTGTTGGAGTTGAAGCCACTTCCTCCACACCTCAGGTATGAATTCTTGGGCTCTAATTCAACTTTACCAGTTATTCTTTCTTCTTGCCTTACTAACATGCAAGTTGAGGCCACTTTGGAGGTGCTTCAAAAGAGAAAAAGGGCAATTGGATGGACTCTTGCCGATATTCGGGGAATAAGCCCCGCATTTTGCATGCACAAGATTACTTTGGAGGATAGCCCTCCTTGGAATATCAAAGGAGGCTCAATGAGGCAATGCAAGAGGTGGTGAAGAAAGAAGTGATCAAGTGGCTAGATGCAGGTGTGGTGTATCCAATCTCCGATAGCTCATGGACTTCTCTGGTGCAATGTGTGCCGAAGAAAGGTGGGATGACTGTGGTGACAAATGACAACAATGAACTTATTCCCACTCAGAACA